TTTTAAAAAAAAAAAAAAAAAAAAAAAATCGCGACCTTTATACTTCGGACGCTCGTACGTTCTCACATAAATATACGGATGTGTGCATAATGCATATTCATAGAACGTACCAAGATCATCTGAGGATTTTACAGACAGATACGAAGAGATCGGATAAGGTAAATAGAAAGTAATGAAAAGAGCGAGAAAGAGAATTCAAGAGAGGCAGGATAAAGAGTTTTAGCCCTTTGAACATACATACGTAATGTACAGTGAACTATGTATCGTACGTCAAAGGGCTATTTACGTAAATAAGGCCAATTACGTATAGATACGTCATATATAATACAGCAGACACAGAGAGTTACAGTTAGACAAATGGACAGATAGAAAACATAAAGAGTGACGAAGATAAATAGACCAAGCGAGAGAGACCAAAGAAACATAGTGTAGAATATAGATATAGAGTAGTAGTGGCAGAGTATTACAGAAGAGTAAGTGAAAGAGTAGTAACGTGGTAGCAGTAACAAGTAAGTAAATTGAGTACAGCAGTAGAATGTAGAGTTAAGTAACGTAGGTAGAAAGTAAAGTAGTTACAGAGTACAGAGTATAGTGAGTATAGTATAGAGCAGTTAGAGTAGCAGTATAGTATAGTATAGTATAGTATAGTATAGTAGTTTGAGAGCAAGAGAGAAGCGCTTACAGCTTGGTCTGTCGAGCTCTTGCTGTAGGGTACCGGTATCAAACGTTCCTGCAACTCGCCACCTATCACCTTCAAGAGTAAAGGGTAATGTCATGGTTACATAAGATGACATGATTGTTGAGTGCTGCCACCGTTGTACATACGTAGCAAAATCACAGACGATAGTGGCCCGAGAGTCGTGATTTTATTTTTGTACTTGCGGGGCGAAAGGGCAGGGGGGTCGTTTCAGGGGTGTAGCTGGTATACATATATATACACGTTTTCAATAAGAAAATGGAAAAACTGGTAAAAAGAATATTTTTTCTTTTGCTTTAAGAAAAAGATCGCGAGAGGATTGTGGGGGGGCGGGG